GCCGCAGGAGGGGGGGAGGGAGGAAGGAACGGCGAGAGGAAGGGAGGGAAGGAGGGCGTTGGGATATGATTCCTAAGAGGGTTTAATTTAGCATCGCCGCTTGGTGTATCCATAGCCAAAAGCCAGCCTAATCCAGAACAGTCCCGTCGAATTCCGCCACATCCGGTCGAGAGGGCTCAATCTTAGGCCTTAATTTGGGCCAATCCGGGTTAATGATCCTTCGATCAGGCTTCTGGTAGCCCTTCATCGTTCTCACGAAGACTTCCCAGGAGTTACCTCCCATGGAGGGTCGTGGTGGTCTATCCGTTAGGGGATGAAGTCTATCATCTCGACACAGCCTGGGCGCCCCTAGGTACCATGTGGGAACGAAGGGCAAAGGGACTTAACTCCCCCGCCGCTGCCTTCGGACCTCCTCTCCCCCCGGCCGCCAGGAGGAGAGAGGTGCACGAGGCGGAGGAGGAGGAGGCGGAGGAGGAGGAGGAGGAGGAGGAGGGAGAGGCCGGGGGTCTGCTTCTGGTAGGCTCTCCTAGCACGACCTCTCCTCGCAGAGTTCCAGAGGGGTGGAGGTGGGGAGAGGGGAGGACCAGGAGGAGTAGCTTGGCATCGCTCGGACGTGTGCACTTTTTCTCGGCGAGATCGCTCGGACGTGTGCACTTTTTCTCGGCGAGGACCATCGAGGAGCATCCTGGACGAAAAGTCAACGCGCGAAGCCGAAAAATGCACGGCGAGTCGACGTCCGAGCGCTGGCAAGGCAGCGGCAGCAGCAGGGACGAGGGGGTCCTGGGCTGTCGATAGGTCCAGCATCGGCCGCCCCCACAGAGTCCATAGAGCCGCCGTGCCCGCGGGCGACGCGGGGACGGTGAGCGGGAGGGGGACGAAGGAAGGTCGAATCTCGGCGGCGCGCCCGGGGGGGGGAGGTCAAAGTCAGGGGCAACGATAGGGGGGAACAGGGGGGGGGCATCGACCCCCCGTCGCCGATTGAGTGTCGACAGGGGCCCGATAGCGATGCCAGCTCGACGTTTCCCCCCGGAGCTGGTCCCACCCTATGGTTGCCCCTCAAAGGCAGAGGGGGCGGGCCTTCTGAGAAGGCTCAGGAGTCGGGAGGCCTACAGCCTTCTGAGAAGCTTTCTGAGTCTTCTCCAAGGCCCCGCCGCCTTCCGGGAAGGCCCGCTCCCTCTTGTTTCCCCCTCGGCGCGCCGCCAAGAATTGAAGAAATCGACACGAGCAAAAATTGTCGGAGGTCAGCGCGGGCTTCTGGGATCGGTGCTGGCCCCCCTGAAGACGCCTCCGGCGCCAGAAAGAAGATCGAGCGCCGATCCGAGAAGTTCGCACGTGTCTCCGAAAGACTATGGTTGTGCCAGCCGAGCGCGGGCTTCCATATTTCCGTATTGCTTCTCTCTCCTTCCCGCGTTATTTTTCTGTCTTTCTTTCTCTCTCTCTCTCTCTGTCTCTCTGTCCTTCTTTGCCTCTCTCTCCCTCCCTCCTGTCTCTTTCTCTCTCTCTCTCCCTCCCTCTCGCACGAGTGGGGAGTGGGAGGGGTGGCATTCGCAGCCCTCTCCTCCGCCGCCTCATTATTTCCGTCATCCCCGCCCTCCTCATCTTCGTTATCCTCCCCGATCTCCCCGCTCTCGCCCTCATGTTTCTCGCGCTTGCCGTGCTCAGTGTGGTCCGCGTCCTCGCCGTCCGCTTCCTCATCCCGCTCCCCCATCGGGCCGTCCCCTCGCAGCTGCGCCCTGGCGATGTCCAGAGCAGGTGGCGGCGAAGTTTCAAAAGTTGTACACGCTTCGCGTTTGACGCGGTCTCGTGCAATAGGCATTGACTCGCGTTGAAGGCAAGCATCTGCTCGAGGCGGACAGGAGGCACAAGTTTTAGACCCTTCCTGGAAGCTTTGCCACGAGCCTTGAACATGTAAGTTTGTAAGTCCGATGGTCAGCACCGCGGCTCGACCTTCGGTTTCTTTACAAAGCGGATCCACAGCTCGGCCGGGTAGTTAACACCCGTTGGTGCGTCGCACTAGGCCAGGACGTCCCAGCTTTCTCGCACTCCTCCCATGCAATGGCTCGCTGCATCAGCTCGCTGTTGGCAGGTTGGTTTGTGCGGCGTCCTAGTTGCGCCTAGCGGTCTCACGTTTCAAACTCCCAGCCCCCCGGCGGATACCGTTTAGGTTATCCCCTTGCGTTCTGACCGCATCTCTGTACTATTGGGAGAGCCAGGCGGAAAAGTAGATAAATCTTATTCCGCCCTCTCATAGAGACTCCTCTTACTCCTCCCTCCCCGCGTCTGTGTCTAAGTGGGAGTGAATGATGGGCAAGAACCGTTCGTGCGTGAGCCGAGCCTTATGATCAGGTTCAGGGTTGAAGCAATGATCAATCCGTTGAACTCCACGTTAACATTACTTTATATTTTCTTTTATGCCTCAGTATCAGCGGTTGACGGCTCCGATTGAGGGATACGGCATAGAGTACCAGCCAGCGTAATATTGAAGCTAGCTGGCAAGCGTGGCACGCGCTTCGTGCTGGTATTGTTCGTATTCGGATGTTTTTGTTAGTCGGCGCATCAGCTGCGAGACCGGAATGGGAGAAATTGCTAGAAGTGCGGTATGGTGTCAGAACGCGAAAGTGTTGTCACGTTCAGTGTATTCGGTTGATATTTGTGTTTGCATTCTTGTTTACATGGAAGTTGAATCAAAGAATTACGTGGTGCTGCAGGAGTCGTTCCAGTCGCAGTTTGTCATCCGTATTGTTTACGATCGTTCCGGGATAGTTTCTCCACTGCGGGTCCTGAGCGCCCGCGTCTCCGTATCAGCATTCGGGGATCGTTCCGTGCAAAATGGGTCAACCCACAGATTTCGTGATATAATTGAAGGCAAATGCGGTTTGACATCCAATGGAACGGTGCATCAGGAGCGATGCGCAACAGAACCATTGTGTATAGTCCAGGCATATCTGCCAACGGCGAGACCACAACTGTTTTTTTCTGGTGGGGCGAATGGTTGTGTGGTGCTTACACAGCGCTGTGAGAGGCATGCGGGTTGTCTGAGGCTTTCGTAAGGGTCCCCGAGGCCGTCTTGGCTGCCTCTGAAATATCCGGGACCGTGTGGGACACATCCACGGCGCACGGGAGGATGCAAGCGTCAGAGTGTTTTTTCATTTGATTCGCTCATTCCGCCGCCCCACATTGTTTGACGGCTTTCTGTTTCCCGTGTGTTTGTTGTCAATGTGGTGCTGTTGAGCGGCGGTTGTTCTCTGGCGCGGTGCGTGGGAAGCGTTCGAGCTGAAGCGGGGTTGTTGTGGGCCTCTGCGATGCATGAGGCATCTAGGTGTTTAGCTTGGGCCGGTGTGGGGAAAGTATTATGTGGATGTTCGGTTTGGGGGCAGTCTGAAGATTTGAGCCTTTCGGTGGAAGCTGTGTATCCTGCTTTCGGGTTGGCGGTATCTTTGAAACCTTGGTTTTGTTTCGTTACAGTGGCGTTCACCCGGGTTCCCCTGGCTTCCTTGGCTTTTCCCCACTTCGGTTTGCCTAAGGGGTTCTTACTTGTTTGAAGGTTGGTGCCTCCTGTTGTTACTTTGCCCGTTCTTCGGAGGTTCCTCGGGGCCCACACCCCCAGCGCCTCGTATGCTGTGCCCGCTCCCGCAGGGATTCCTCGGGTTCTCCGGGTTCCTCAGGTTCCCCGCCCCCGGTGCTTCGTGTTCTTGCGTTGCCGGTGTTTCGGAAGTTCCGCGGGTTCCTTGGGTTCCTCGGGTTCCCCGCCTTGTTGTTGGCTTTGTTTCCAAGCAATGACAGGCAACGTCAAGCAACGCCAAGCAACGCCAAGCAGATCAAAGCAGCGCAAAGCAACACCAAGCAATGCCAAGCAACGCCAAGCAGCACCAAGCAATGCCAAGCAGCGCCAAGCAAAGCCAAGTGATGCCAAGCAGCACCAAGCAAAGCCAAGTGATGCCAAGCAATGCCAAGCAACGCCAAGACAATGCCAAGTAACGCCAAGCAATGCAGCAATGCGAAGTAATACCACGCAACGTCAAGCAATGCCAAGCGATGCAAAGCAACAGCAAGCTACGCCGAGCAATGCAAAGCAATGCCAAGCCATGGCAAGCAATGCTAAGCATTGTCAAGCAATGCCAAGCAACACCAAACAATGTCAAGCAATGCAATACAATGCAAAGCAAAGCAGTGCAATGCCAAGCAATTCTAAGCAACGCCGCTTAGGAAGCGTTCCCCGAATTGGGGTCGCGCCAGGTTCATGTTTTCTTACAGTGGAGTTGATTTAGGTTGCTTGACATTGCCCAGGGTTCCTTGATTTTGTTCCATTGCAGTGGCGTTCCTCGGGGATCATTGGCTTTGTTTCCTTGCGGTAGTGTTTCTCAGGGTTGATTGGCGTTTCTCGGGTTTGATTGGTCTTGGTTATTTGGATTTGGTTCCTTGGTCTTGGTTCCTTAATGCCGTCCTCGGATTCCTTAGTCGTGGTTCCTTGGTTCCTTGGTATTGGTTCCTTGGTTCCTCAGTCTTAATGGTTTGATTCCTTGGTCTTGGTTTCGTTCTGCCCCGCCACGCAATGCCAAGCAGTGCCACGCAATACCAAACAATGCCAAACAATATGCTAAGCAATGCCACACGTTGCGCCCGTACAACAGGAAGCGTTCCCCCTCTTAGGGTCGCGCTGGGTTCACTGCCCTTTCCAGACCGATGCCATGTCATCGACAGGGCCAACCATACCGCTCGCCGCACCATTGGCGCAACCGGCAGCACAGGTGTTCCTAGCAGAATGGATAGGTCCTTGCAACCTCACCCGCCGCAGCAGCACCTTGCCCCAACTAGCGGCGCAATGGTTCCCAGCTCGTCGGCGACCAGCACCACTTCAGCTGCATTGCCGCAGGCGCCAGCACACAGAAAACAACGAAGGCTCGTAGCAGCAAATGCGCAGCAGGACAATTGTCGATTGCTGGATTTTCTTGCTGGTGGTGATCCTGGGATGTCGGCTGAGCGTCCGGCCCCAATTCGGT